TCATTGTTCCAGTCCCAGCCCAGCAACAGTGGGTCCTTGACACATGGTGGTCTAATAATCAGTTAGTATCTGAAGTGAACTCCCAACAGTGGGCCTTGACACATGGCGGTCTAATAATTAGTTAGTATCTGAAGTGAACCCCCAAAGATCAAAGGTAATTCCCAGAGCATGGTCTTTCCCATGTGACATTTTGAACTCCTTTTTGAATGTAAAGCTCTTCCAAGGTGACTTCTTTCCATTTATCTTAGCTTATTATTGGTTATCTTTTGGCTGATGGGCAACCAATTTATCCAACAGCTTCTTCAGGACCTACTGTATGCCACTAAGCAATAGGACAAACCCTTTGCTTTGTCAACAAAGCAGACATTTAAGGCATTATGTTCCAGCAGTTTCTTTTATTCCTATTTTCTTTCTAAAAGTACCAGTATTGGCAATAACCATTCCTATATGTTTCATTCTTACTGCATTTGTAACATGAACGAAATCAACACATTTTTTAATTTTTTAATTGTTTAGTTCATCCATGAAAATTTAGAAATAACTTATCATTGCTTCGCATGCTTTCTCATTTCTGTTTTCGCAGAAACAAATTATTTATTAACATTTAAAAATTTGTTCTCCTCTCTCTTCCCTTTTGCAGTTTTTATTTTATATTTGAAACCCCTGTATTGATTCTTTAGTGATGAAAGGAGCATGGCTTCGCCATAATAGAATCTGAAAAAGCTGTTGATGTACAACCTGAGTCACATTTAGATCAATCAATATGATGACTTCAGGTTTCTATAAATACTTCCTGGATATTTTCCTGAAGGCCTTTTCCATAAATCCTTTCTTCCTGTTCCTGTAGAGGAGGGTGCACAGTTCTATTATGACACTTCACGCACAGCTGTTATGATTTACTTGCTTCCTGTCTTCACTAGACTTCAAGGATCTTACCACATTTACATCCACAGATGCCTGGTGCATTGTGATACTCAATCAATGTCACTGAGGTCAAGGAATGAATTCAGGGAGGTATTTTCATCTCTCTGTTAATGATACCAACAGCTAATTTTTAGTGGCTGTATTCTTTGAACCAGGCATTAAGCTAAACTGACTACATGCATTATTTGATAATACTCTCTTCAGCTCTGCCTGTAGTATAGATGTTCTTCTTTTACCAGTAAGAAAATTGTTGGAGTCCTAGAGAAGTAAATTAGCTTTAAAAGCAGACTGGGCTGGGCTCATGCTTGCAATCTCAGCACTTTGGAAGGCTGAGGTGGGAAGATAGCTTGAGACCAGAAGTTTGAGACCAACCTGGCATCATAGAGCGATCTCATTTCTACCAAAAAAGAAAAAAAAATTACCCTGGTATGGTGGCACATGCCTGTAGTCCCAGCTACTAGGGAGATTGAGGCAGAAGTATCTCCTAAGCCCAAGAAGTTGAGGCTTCATTGAACGGTGATCGTCCACTGCACTCCAGTCTGGGTGACAAAATGAGACCTTGATTCCCCCCCCCCCAAAAAAAATCATGGCAGAGTGGGATATACACATCTGACTAACCTGAAAGTCCATAAAAATCCATATTTTGATATTGTTTTGTCACTAAGGCATTTCATCTCACTGTAACTTAAAACTGTTTAAAAAGACTTCCCCTACTAGTATTCTTTTTATATAGGACATGGATGGCTGCGTTCCATGGGCATGACATCTGACAAGTGACCTCAAAACAAAAGTCCATCCAAGGAAAAGAAGGACATGTATAGGAAAACAGAGACAAAGGAAAACAGATGCAAAAATAAAGAGATCATCCATTTGGGATTAAATGGGGGATGAAAGTGAAATTTTTACCTACTCATTGTGATGTTTCTAGTTATTTATTCCTAAATGCCTAGTGATTCTATCCTGATGGTAAATGAGAATTCCCATCATTTTTCAAGGTAAATGTTGTTCCAAAGATTAATGCAAATCAAAGACTGAAAGAAAAGAAGGCAGAGAAGTCAAGCAACCACTTAAACCAGAACCCCTCAACCTCAGCACTCACTACTGATACTGTAGGCTGTCTTATGATTGTAATTGTGCCCCCCCCCCACAAAATGCATATGTTGAAGTCCTAACTCTCTCAGAATGTGACCTTATTTGGAGAAAAGGTTTTTATGAAGATATTCAAGTTAAAAATGAGATCATGAAGATAGACCTAATCAAATATGACCAGCGTCTTCATTAAAATGGGAAATTTGGATGCAGAAATACGCATAGAAGATGATAAGAAGAGACATAGGTAGAAAACAGCTATCTACAAGCTAAGGAGAGAGTCCTGCAACAGCTCCTTCCCTCACAGCCTTCAGAAAGAACCAACACTGCCTTGTCTTTGGACTTCTAGCCTTCAGAACCATGAGACACTTCATGTCTGTTGCTTAAGCTACCCAGTCTGCAGTACTTTCAAATGGCAGCCCTAACAAGCCCATGCAGGGAGGTAGCTCTTTGTTGTGAGGGCTGTCCTGTGTGTTGCAGGATATTTAGCAATACCTCTGGCCTCTGCCCATAGATAGAGCAGCATCTCCTGCTCCCAGTTGTGACAACTCACGACGTCACCATACTTCACCAAGTATCTCTCTGGGGGCATTCAGGCTAGACTGTCTGTGACCTGGAGGTAGTTGTTGATCTCAGTGATTAGAGGCACATCCATGGCTAGTTACCAGCACTCTCTGGGACTGGATTTCCCCAGCAGAGTAATATACATAATCTGGAACATGGAACTTCAACTGAACAAGGATCACTTACAAGTCATGTATATACTGGGGGAAAAAATTCTAATCAACTGAAGACCTGCATAAGACAGTGAAGGGATCATAATGTGCCATCCTCAAATATGCCTCTTGGCTTAGGAACTATTTTGAGCTGAAGACATTTGAGATTTAGGAGATGTAGAAAGAAGCCTTCTTGGAGTTTCTCTTATCTAACTAAAAGCAGAAACTCCTGAGAAATAAGGGCTGCAATAAATACTCTCTCCTGGGAAAGTTTTATGGCCATGAAAAGATGAGTCTGGCAGCGAGATGAATCTGCACAAACTTACCAAGAGAGCCCTCATTTTCCATTAGTTTCCCTCATCTACTTACCTTCCCACAGTTTGCCATGCTTGGAAGCCCCAAATCCTGGTCCTTTGTCTTGTGACATCTCCACAATTTATTGTTCTTTATCAAAAATGGTATGTAAGCTCTCAGGCCTGTTTATCTCTTTGGGTCTTATTTTCTAGGAAGATCGTGTGTCACATAAAATTAATATAAAATGAAATTTGCATGCCTTTTCTTCTATTAATTTGTCTGTTAACCTAATTTGCATGGCCTCGGGCAATGAACCTAAGAGGGTACAGGAAAACATTTCTAAGATAGAAAATCCCTCAGTCATATTCAAGGAAAACTACTGGGCTATTTTCCTTAAATCTGGACAGTGGCATAGTCTGAAGACCAAAAAACTTCACCCTTTTGCAAAAGTGCTAGTCTTGCCATTTTACAGAAGCAATTAAAGAAGGAAGATAATGCTTCTGTGCTGTATGAAAACACAAACCATTCACTGCTCCCATGAAAAGCTGTGGAAGAGGGATCTAAGGACATATTCAGTTGAGAAGCGAATATTTTAATAAACTGTCACAAAGGCTTGATTATGCTACTATTTATTTACATGTGGGTGGTTAGTTGTAATGAGTGGAGCAGAACAGAAACTAACCACAGCAACCATATCAGTGATGAAGCTAAACCCTTTTTGCGTCCTTTAATTCCAGAGGGATTCTAAAATGTCACGTTTTCAGAGCTTCCATAATTTTATTTTTTCTCACAGCATGAACTCTTCCTAATGGCAAAGCTGCAAGCTGCATTCAGGAGATGAATTTTTTCCAGCAGGTCAATGCATCATTTTAAACAACAGGGAACTCTTTTTCCTTCACTAATAGTTTAAGCATGTTTACAAAGTCTACTTATAAATGATTATTAATCTGTAAGAGATTCTTTAAAGTGGGGCCACCTACTAATTTAATTTGCTCCAAGATTTAGCTGACAGTACTAGTTCATAATCAATCAGGCATTACTTGTTCTTATTTTTTTCTCATATTTTAAGTGTTTTTGCTTCCTTCTCTCATGTACACACACACATATGTGAGAAAACAGCCTGTTGCATGGCATGAATGACACTATCTTGAAGCTAAGCTGCCTTGATGATGGATGCTTGACCCCCACATAGCAAAGTATTCTGCAGTAAGATCTTTAAACAATGCCTGTTGCATAGATAACCCCTCATAAAGATGCTTATCTAACCTCTCTGGTGGTCAGAAATCTTGGCAAGAAAGTCTGAAGACATGATCAAGTGCATATGTTTTACCCAAAAAGCTTTGCTGTATAAAGAATACTATTGGGAGGACCCGGGGTGGGTGAAGATGGGTGCTCAGGCAAAAGCAGCCGCAGGCCTCAGTCTTTCTCTGATTCTCTAGGCCTCATCAGACCTACCCAGCATTTCCAGTGTGGACCAGCTTTCCCTATCCAATCCCCACTCCCGCTCTGATGAAAAGATAGGCCCTTCACTGTTTATCTGGCATTCACACTAAGAAGTTGGAAGGTCGGTATTCTTCTTTTGCCCATTTTACAATGAAAACAAAGGAGGACTCAAGAAGTGAAGACATGAAACAAAGCAGAGTTTCTAAAAGAAATTTTTATAACATGTTTAAAACAGTAGTATTCACTATAGCCAAATTTTTTATAACATGTATATAACAGTATTAATCACAGAAACCAAAAGGTAGAAGTAACCAAGTACCCATCAATAGATGAATGGATAATCAAAACATGGTATATATACACAATGACATACTATTCAGCATTAAGAGGCAAGGAAATTCTGACACATGCTTCAAAAGGAATGAACCTTGAAGACATCATACCAAGTGAAATAAGCCAATCAAAGACAAATGCTATAGAGTTCCACTTACACGAGATGTTCAGAGTAGTCAAGTTCATAAAACAGAAAGTAGAATGGCAGTTGCCAGGGGCTGAAGGAAGGGGAAATTGGGGTTATTGTTGAATGGGTACAGAGTTTCCGTTCTGTAAGATGAAAAAGTTCTGGAGATTGACCACACAACAATGTGAATATACTTACCACTGGACCATACACTTACAAATGGCAAAGGTGGTAAGATCTATGTTATTCTTATTTTACCACAATTAAAAATTTACAAAAGGAAGTTAAGATCAAAGAGCTAAAATTATTTGAACTTGACAAAGCTCCCTTGTACTACAAAATAAAACAACAAAAGAAGTACCATGGACTCCATTCTCTCTTCTTCTTCATTTTCAAAATAGTGGAGTTCAGTATCTGGAGACCTCTAGAATAAAACACTTTTTGTTTTTTTTGAGATAGGGTCTTGCTCTGTCATCCAGGGTTGAGTGCAGTGTCACCATCACAGTTCACTGCAGCCTCAAACTCCTGGGCTCAAAGAGCCTCCTGCCTCAGCCTTCTGAGCTGGGACTACAGGAGTCTGCCACCACAACCAGCTAATGTTTTTGTTTTTAATTTTTTTTAGAGGCAGTGTCTTGCATAGCACCCAGACTGGTCTTGAACTCCTAGCCTTAAGCAATCCTCCCACCTCGACCTCTCAAAGTGCTAGAATTACAGCTATGAGCCACTGTGTCGAGCTAAAACTCCTTTCTAAGAGGTGCGATTATAGGATATTTTTTTCTTTTTCCTCCCTTTGTATTATTCTATATTTTCTTACGTTTCTATAATAATGGAGATTACCTTTTTATTTTTATTTATTTATTTATTTTTTGAGTTGGAGTCTTACTCTGTCACCCAGACTGGAGTGCAGTGGCCGCTCCCCGCCACCGCAGCTTCGACCTGCTGGGCTCCGGCAATCCTTCCGCCTCAGCCTTCCAAGTAGCTGGAACTACAGGCGCGTGCTACCATGCCTGGCTAATTTTTTTGATTTATGTAGAGATGAGGTCTCGCCAAGTTGCCCAGGCGGGTCTCGAACCCGTGGGCTCAGACAATCCACTCACCTCGGCCTCCCAAAGTGCTGGGATTACAGGCTGAGCTATCGAGCCCAGCCCGAGATTACCTTTTTCATTGAAAGAAAAAAGTGCCAAGGCTCTACTATAACAAAAGATGGTACACAAACTCTTTGAGATGCTTGGGGTTAATCGTGTCTTAATAAAGTTCAACAAGAATGGAGTAGCCCTGTTGTTTCCAGTGTGTCACCAGTCAACGAGGAAGGATCTGGTCCCATCACACGGTTACTCTAGTTCTAGGAAGAAAAAGAGACCCTTAGATGGCAAATGACTTTTCCTAAGCTCCAACCTCATCAAGTTAGAACTAGAAATCAGGTCCTACAACCTCCACTCCAGCACCCTTTGACCTACTTCATTCTTTCTCTGAAAGCTGAGTGTTGTGCAACTAAGGTCATGTTTATAAGCAGCTCAGCTACATCTCTACCAGGGTTTCTCAACCTCAGCATTAGGAACATTTTGAGCTGGATAATTTTTTGTTGAAGGGGTTATTGGGTACATGCTTACCAGCATCCTTGACCTCTCTCCGTTACTTGCCAGAAGCACCCTCCCAATACCCCCAACCAAAAATGTCTCCAGACACTGTCAAATGTCCCCTGGGTGGCACAATCATCCCCGGTTGAGAACCACTGATTTACTCTTGGTGAAAATGTATATCAGCATATTTCCTTTGGACATTTGCCTTATCTGTTCATAGTACTGAATTTGGAGGCTGAGAAGTTCGTGAAAAAAATAATCATGATAAAAAAATTTCTGGTTTGTTCCTTGGCCCTCACTGAAGCTTAGCCTCACTGTGCGTTGTGAAAAGTAATCCAGGTGGCCAGAGTGAGAGGCTGCAGTGATGGTTTTGACTGTTTTATCCATACAGATCTCCAGTCTCATCCTTAGCCAAGCTTGCTGGTGACTCAACTATGATCCTTTCCAGTCATGAGGCAGTCCTTGTCCATTTCTCTCTTCCCAGCTGACTGCCATGTCCTCCGTTTGGATGACCCTGACACCCTTGGGGTAGCCATGTTAGGGAATGGAGTCAGCACTGAGTTTTCACCAGAAAACCTGAGCTTGACTCTTAGCCCTTTCAGTTTCCTCATTTTGTAATCAGTATCCTGCCTTGTAAGATTGTTGTGAGAACAAAATGAGAGGATATATTTCAAGTACTTAGTGACATATCTGGTCAAGTCAATCTTGATGCTGTTATCACTGTCATTGTGATTTTGAAAAAGTCACTTAATTTTTCAGGGTCTTGATGTCACCCCCTGAGAAAAGAAGGGGTTGAGTTGGCTAACTTCTAAGGGTTTTTTAGTCAGACTTCAAAAACTATTCATGTTTTTCAACTGTAAAATAGAATAGTTTTAACTCCTTACAAAGTTGAGATGCACATAAGCAGACCTTGAACAATTATCATAATACTATAAGAAAGGGATAGGCAGAAGTGGGGAACTGTCAGCTGAGGGAAACTGCCAGGTGAGGGAGGGGCACATCTCATAAACAAGGGTACCTGCATAATGGACATCTGTATACCTAACCCTGAATTGTACCCCACGTCAAGAAAAAAAAACCAAAAAACAAAGTTGAGCTGCAAATAAAATATTATGGGAAATATATTGCAAACTGTATGTCATGTCAACATGGGTGGGTTTGGCCTATTGGATGGAAGGACCACATGCAGGTGAGGCAGACATGGGGCTGTGGGGGTTGCTGGCCTGAGGGATCACACATGCTAGGGTTGCTAAGACCACCTGTAAACAAGAGTCCTGGGTCAGTCAGTCCGACCCCCATCTGCCATTTGCTCTGTGAGTCTACATAAGGCAGCAGCCTCCCAGAATCCTTTACAGTAGTGAAGAATTAAAACTAACTACCAAAATGAGAAGGAATTTGGGGTAGTTTCTCCACCTAAAAAAAACCTAGTTTTCCCACTCTCAAAGGGCTCGGGTGTTAAAGAAGTTGCGCCCAAAATTGAGATGTCAAATTCAGCATAGGAATGAAGAGATCCGAGACAAGCACAGATGAATCCTAACTGCTCTGATGAATGCTTAAAGAATGTGCTGATTTGACTCAATCCTTTCTGATCAACCAGGTGGCATTCAGCAAGTCCTTTACCTTCTGTGAAAGCAACAGTAGAGTGATTATTACTAACAGTATTACCAGTAGTGATGGTGATGATAATTATAGATTCCATCAGCTGCTGTGTTAGGGGCTTAATATATATTACCATTCTGAATTTTTTAGAGAACATGATGAAGAAGCCCAAATAGTTTAAACAATGGGACCAAGTTTTCCAGCACAGCCTAATGGAGCTGACCTTGAAGTCTCAGGGGGAGTTGGGCAAGAAACGAGGCCAGCAAGTCCCACATGACACTGGCCTTGTAAAGGAGTGCCCAGAGGAGCTAAGAAGGGCTTCCTCTTCCCCGAGTTCTTCTTTTTGGATGTGTGCTTCCATCATTTAAAACTATATTTATATTGCCGAGACTGACACCCGGCCGTACCACGGAAGGTGCGTGACTGGGATGGCGCTGGTGCAGCCTGGAAGCAAATGTCCTGGTCCTATTACTGGTACCTGCTCATCATGGTGCTCTACATACTGGAGCCCTGGGAGCGGAGTTGTATTCAATTCCATGCTGGTTTCCATTGTGGGGATGGCGCTATAAACAGGATACATCTTCATGCCCCAGTACATCATGATGATATTGTACTACTTTGAAATTGTACAATGACCAAGATGTGGCCAGGATTGAGAGGTTCCTTGGGGAAGAGCTACCCTTCGAAGTTGGAATGAGACTTCATCAGATGTCATAAGAAGTTCTTCTAGCCGGGCTTGGTGGCTCAGCCTCTAATCCCACGCCTTTGAGAGGCTGAGGTGAGTGGATTGCCTGAGCCCATGGGTTCGAGACCCGCCTGG